ACTATGATTTTTTGTTATACATTTTTGATGATATGCTATTTAATGCTGACTTGAAGATGGTGAATACTTGTGCAATCATTCATTTCCATTTTGTATTTTTAAATTATTGTCATTATTTTGTAGAAATCTGTTTTACTTTGACATGAAGGAGTTTTGTCTCTGGTCGTAAACACCAAGATTCACTGACCATGGTTCAATATTGAAGAGCAATACAAGAGGAAAACGTTATCCATGCTTGTGTGTAACTGAGTTGAATAAACAGGAAATGTCTGATTGAACACAGAAAGCGTCTGTTTGTCCGACCTGACACTGCATTAGTGCAGAGTGCAGCCTCCTCTCCCAGCTCTCCAGGCCGCTGCAGGCCTGCGTCCAGCTGTGATTGGCTGAGCTCAGCGCTTCCTGCAGCTCCTGCAGCTCGGCGCTGTCGCCTCGCAGGAAGTGACGGCTGCTCAAGTTGATGGAGATCATCAGACACTTGTAGCTGTTGAAGGTCTTCTGCATGTCCTGCACAGAGCAAAGGAAAGAGGTTACAGTTAACGCAGACGGATGCGCTTCAAACTCTGAGGATGGACTGACTGTCACTGTGTTCGCATGTACATAATGTCTCCTCATTTTCTTTCATTTTTCCCCTCATTCTGCAATATTGTTTGCATTTCTTTAAACAAAATAAAACGGCACGCTGCACAACTGCCAAAAGCACAGCGGGTGACTGTATGTCTCCTCCATTACACTTAAACTGTACAAGTTTGACTAACATTTGTTGTGTTCTTTCACACATTATTTCCAGTCCATTCAGTGTCATAGAAAACAGAAGATAACACTCATTTTGACATAAAATTGGAAAACAAACAATGAAACTTTGTTATTCAACTGCTGGATTTTTCACTTGAACAACATCCAGAACAACTAAATTCAGGGTTCAGTCTGTTTTTCAGGTTTTTCTGGGTGGTTTCATGTTATGCTGTTTAACATTCAATAAATGAGCACATTGACAATACACTGATAATATCAGGGTGTTATAGCTCTGTTTATATGGTGTGAAATCATCATAGTAGGTCATCCAAAAAAAAGTGTAAAAACATAGTA